ATGTCATAGATGGCCTCATTGTCAACCATAAAGGCACAGTCGGAATGCTCCAGAGTGGTGTGGGTAGTCAGGATGGAGTTGTACGGCTCAACAACAGCTGTCGAGACCTGTGGTGCAGGGTAGATGGCAAATTCCAACTTTGATTTTTTCCCATAGTCAACTGACAGGCGCTCCATCAGCAGAGAAGTAAAACCTGAGCCAGTGCCTCCCCCAAAGCTGTGGAAAATCAGGAAACCCTGCAAGCCAGTGCATTGATCAGACTGAAAGAGAAGATACATGTGTTAAAGCAATTGTGTAGACGTTAAGAATCCCAAAACAAGCTCAAGACAGACAACTCAATTCTGACACATACCAACTGTTCAAGCTTCAGGAAAGTAATACTGAATTTGATTTATCCACCGATAATCAAGGAACTGCCCCATAAAAAACACTGTATTCTCAGCTATTTTAAGCCCCCTACATATTGGAGGGTGACCTCTCCACTTCAAATTACTACCTCAAAACTTCCCCTACCCCCAATTCTCAGGCCAAGGCCATTAACAATGACCAAGAAAAGCAGTAATATTCAAAGAACTACAGACCATCTATCCCTTATACTGAGTTGACATTCTCTACCTATGCAAAAACAGAGCAATGCCCTGTCCCAGAACTATTGCTATAATCCTTTAAGAGTTGCAAGCATGTAACTCAGTTCAGGGAAGTGAGCTGTCAAAATGTATTACACTGCCATTCCAGTTTAGTCTTCTCAGTTGACTAAATTAGACTGCCTTGTCCTCAGAAAGTGCCCCATGATGCTTAGCTTGATTCCCAGGACTGACAGGGACTTCCAACAGCTTGTAAAAAGAAGTTAATGACCGTATTTTTCAGGTCGAAGTACAGCCTGCTGCAAACTTAACTTCGCTTTAGAGACAGTGGCAGCCAAGCGTTGAGAATAATACCAGTTTTGATCTGCAAAAGGTGTACTTTTCAGTAAGACTCATTTAGCATTCTGTATTAAAGCACCAGAGGTATACCCTGGGTTTGTCTGTGCAATGAGAATTCCTTACCTTTGTGACAGATTCAGTAAACTACATGCTTAGCAGCCCTTAAAAGGGAACTCTAACCTTCAAGCTGACATCTTCATAAGTTTGCTACATGATCAAAGCACTGAGGAACCTGAAACATCCCAACTTAGAGATTTATTGCCCTTTTCTGTTATTACCATAAAATTAATTCAGGAATTGTAACAGCAGGAAATGCAAACAAAAGTCTAAACCACAGAAGCAAACACTCCTATTTAAACTTCCTTGCAAGAGCCCCAGCCAGAGACCAATCCTTTTCCAGCAGGAGCTATGCAAATCATAATTATCTCAGTCCTGGCTTTCTGAAGTTGAACATGAAACTAAAGGTTTGGGTGGCTCATCAGCATTTTAGGCCATTTGGAAGTCATATCTGACAGGAATAATCCAACTATTCTCAGCTGTATAAGAATAAAAACAGATGCAGACTAAGTCCACAGATTCTCCTACCATGGAATAAATTAGAAGACAATTTATAGGCCTATGTATTTTTGATAACCTTATTTCCAAATCCTGTAAAACAGGATAAAGAAAGATGTTAGAGCTTTCAGTGAAGAAGTCTTACCAGTTTCCTGATACGCTCTAGAACTAGATCAATTATCTCTTTCCCAACTGTGTAATGACCTCGAGCATAGTTATTTGCAGCATCTTCTTTACCAGATATCAGTTGTTCAGGATGAAAGAGTTGCCTGTATGTCCCATTCCTAACTTCATCTGGGGAGACAAGATGAATATTATTTATAAGTTGTTAGTTTTCTATGTAGACCAGGTTTTTCAAACTTCTGAGGGTGTCCAGAATAAGGTACCTGAACCCTTACAGATAAAAAGCAGCTCAATTTCTACCCATCAATAGGTGACAACACTTACTACAGTCTAAATGTTGAATACCTAAGAAAAATGAAGTTACTGCTGAAGAAACTGTCCCATTTTACACATAAGTTTAAATTTTTGACCTGCCAGAGCAATTTAAAAGTGGACTGTGGCAGCAGAATCATTCTTCCACAGTTTAAGACAACTTAAGGCCCACTTTGCAGATCAGCATCTGAAATACTGCTTTTCCCCCTTATTTTCCAAGCCCTCTAGGATGTTGCCATATTGCTTCTGCAGCTGTGGGCAGTCAAAGCCTACACTGCTTGCTTGTCCAGTTCTTTCCCTTAATTGTACTTTCTGCCAAGGGTAGAGAATAATGTTCAAAAGGAACAGGAGATGCTCTTGTAGAGATACTCAGTTATTCAAATGCTGAGCTGTAAGCTCCAGCATGAATGGCTGTGTTATACAGAAACATGCAAATGAACACACAGCATCCCCCACCAGCTAGAGATTTGGGGAATGATTTAGAGGTATCTCCACTAGTTACCAGAAATACGCACTTACATCTAGCAGGCTAAAGCTCTGTCCTACCACAAAGGTACAAAGACACTCATGATAGCTTTGTCTCTGGTTTAGCTCAAGCCATTCTTGAGTTGTATGCTAATGCAGTACTGCATCCTTAAATTAAAATCAGGTGGAAAGCAAAGAGCTTTATTAACTACAGATGAAGTTGTCTATTTGCATATATTCTTTTTAATCTGAAAAAGAGTGAGCAAGACAAAGATAAGTAGAATTCAAGATTTAAAAATAGTTACTATTTGAATGAACTTAGACTGACCAGCTACCACTGCAGTTTGCAATCCAATACTCTAAAGTATTTCCAAGCTGCACCAAAATAAAAACAATTTGGAGGCGTCTACCATCCAAAATACATATGTTTAAGACTTTCTGCATTACCACTCCAAATTATATGGAAAAATATGGGTAAAAGGGAAAAATATAAAACCTAAAGATGCTGATAGGGGCAACATGAGTCAAGATGGTCCTGGGGAAGTAACAAATCTTGAAGAGTTAAGAGGATCAGTCATTGGACTATGAAAGTGTGCTGCAATAAAGAATTTAGAGTTTAGGGGACAGCTTTCCAAGCTTTCCCCTGGACATGCTATCCTTCATGTTTTTAAGTCTACCTGGGGTAGATTTTTTAAAGACACTTGCATTGAATTCCCAGACATGTTACTGCCCTGTTTCTTGGTGGAAAGTTTGATGGTGTTTTACCACATCCACAGACCTGGTGTACATGTACAGCAGTCCTGCTGCTTTCACTAAGAGCAGCACTGATCTGGAAGCTCCAGAAATCCCTGGTGTACACACGTGGCAACTACAGAGCTGCTGTATGCACAATAGATGTTTTTTCATAAACACAGTGCAGAGGGACATGCAGCATGAATGGGAAGAGTCATGCTAGCCCCGCCTAGGAAACTAGTTCAATAATTTTCAAATAAGCAGGGCAGGAATAAAGAAGGCTAGCCCCTAGAAAGGCACATGATGTAACCTTTAACACAAAACCCTAACTTTTTTTAGTATTACCAAGTATTTCATAAGACAGCCTTTTGCCCATCTCCCCATACTACACTTGCATCATTAACAGGTGCTAGAACACTACCTTTTACCATTTGTCCCAAGACTCACCAGCTACTCTCCCCCAGAGACAAGGTGATAGCTTTTGCCACCTGCTCTCCCTCACCTCATTTCTCAGCCTTTTCTGATTGCTGAGAGCCACCACCTGGCCAGCAGCAGAGGAAGCAACAGCAACAGCCATGGGGCTCAAGAAAACAGAAAGCCAGACCTCCAACAGCTCCTGGGGATATTAGTGTATGGCCAAGGGTGCTTTGGCTCATTTCAAAGTTATCAGTCCAGCACTCCCACCCTTGACCTGCCCAACAGCCTTCTGCTCTCCTGCAGAAGTTTTCTACTGTATTAGCCACAGAAAGGGGTTCGGGGTGTTACAATGAAAATAAGTTACAAGAGACCCACAGTTTGGTTACATAGGAGTAGCCTAAGCCTATTCACTCATCTCCCCTTCCCAACTCTATGTACTGCAGAAAGATAAACACAGCAACTGCACAAGCAATACAGACCTCCTCTTCTATGAGAGCCTCAAATCACTACTTAAGGCAAGACAGCCACAAAACCAGCTCCAGCAGAATTACTTCAGGCACACACATAGGTGAGAGCAAAACCAAGATTCATGAGACAAGGAACAAGGGGTTTGTGAAACTGGGGAGCTCACACTGGGCTGGCAGTGTAGATAATGCCACAGAATGTGGGGTTGGTCAGTGGCTGATCATGGGATCACATCTGAACACTAAGAGCCAGTGTTGCCAGAGGTCGGGATACAACAGATTTTCAGGATAAAAGTGAATTGTTATTCAAAGATAAGGCAGCAGAAAGTTGAAGTGCATGTTTGGAAGTCCCTGAATTTAGGCTAGCAATTGAGACTCATTTCTGCAAGCACTATTCAAGCTACAGAGAGTAGAAGAATGTTTGGGAAAGCATAGGAATCATTCCAATGTACAAAAAGAAATCTGCTTAATGATACATATCACATCTTTTAAAAAGGTTCCTAGTGACTGCCGTACACATTATGCCATATTATTTCAAGAAGTTATAACTAGTTCCTTGCATAGTAAAAGCATGAGGCATGTTCAGAAGACCCATTTAATTCCACAGTTTGGCAGAAGGTAGTATTTAAATTCTTTAGAGCTCCAGAGTGCACATTTGCCCATCTCAATGAACATAAACCCAAGTATTTTCCATCACTAGGAAGATGTAGGCAAGCTTTATGTAGTAAAAATTTAAAGCCCCACAGCATTTGCAGAACTAGAGAAATGGATCCCTTAGTCAAAAAATGTGTAAGTTAAATCAAATCCTACAGCATGTTCTATAGTCCCTTGCACAGGTCACTGTATTTACCTATTACTGCTGGTTCCAGGTCCACAAACACAGCACGAGGGACATGTTTTCCTGCACCGGTCTCACTGAAGAACGTGTTAAAGGAATCATCACCTCCACCGATGGTTTTATCACTTGGCATGGTACCATTGGGCTGGATGCCATGCTCCAGGCAGTAGAGCTCCCAGCATGCATTGCCAATCTGCACACCAGCTTGACCAACATGGACTGAGATGCACTCACGCTGTGTGGAGAAAAAAAATTGGATCACTCAGCAGAAACAGCAGTTTCCTGTTTAGAAAACATTCAGCACACACAGCTTGAACTCCCATACTGCAAAGCTATTAAAACACTGGCCTTATTGTCTTGGTGTTAGGGGCATTTGGCACAAAATACAACAGAACACAAAAGCCTCTTTCAGTCATCATCTACCTCCACCTAGAAAGACCCTTTTGGGCACTCATTTTTACAAACTCATTCCTTGTTGTTGTTCCTATCCTCAACCAGATAGGAAGAGTTTGATCAACTCTTCCAAATCCTTCAGCCAACTCCTCTCTTCATAACACTGAATATTTAGAAAAACTGATGACTACACCTGTCACTGGCCTAAGTGTCCAGAAAAACATCACCCCCAGAACTCCAGCCCCAGGAGCCACAGAAGCACAGCCACCAGAGGGAGCAAAACTTTCTGCAAGATCCAGGGCCATTTTGTTTAATATACATAAAATCAGAAAAAAATATTCTCCTGATCACTTTAGGGAACTTTGCCATTCTGTAAGAAAGTCATTGCTTAATAAAACCCTTAGTATCACTTCATAAACATGGAACATCAGGCCTCACATCACAGCGTCGTATGCAAAGTGCTAAACTCCTTAACACTAGGCAAAAACTCTGCCTCATTTAAGCTATGTAGAACATAGTTCATGTCAGCAAAAGGATCTATTCATACCAATTTATGGATTCCCAAGTTGCTTTTGAGGTCCAGAGCATAAACCCAGCTTCCTTAATATTTCAGCATAGGGTTTTGAATATTAAAAGCCAAACCACAATGGAACCATCTCCAAACTCCTGTCCATCTGTGGCATTTTATATTGAACTTCTAGTTTTGAGTGACAGAGTTAAACACATTCTAGAAGAGCCTGCATATAGGACAGTTTTGAATAACAGTCACATTTAACTATGTTCAGACCCTATGATTGGATGATACAATTAATTTGTCCCCTGAAATTCCAGGATAAGCAGGACCTGGAACTGCCTAGTCCACCCACATCAACAGTCAATGCAGGAAAGCAGGAGCACAGTCCTTTCCAATTTCTTGGGGTTTCCAAGGAAATAAAATCTGTATTTGCCAAAAAAAACATCACCTGTTTTCAACTACAGTACTGAACAGCTGAGAACTGTTGTTTTGTAGCTCCCCATCCATCCAAGCTGTTTATTCAGATATAGAGCTTCCAGAAGAGCAATCCACATCCACTCTGCAACCAGCCTTTCTCAAAGCTGCTGCCACACTACTCCTCTCCAAGGCCATTACTCCATCGCTCTCCAGGCCAAAGCACTGGGCTTGGCAAGGTACTGCAACAGTAGAGGACAGCCAGCCTACACACTGTAAAAAGGGCGACAGTAAAAGCAGTTTCAGCATGCAGCCCAACAAGGCTGCACTGTCGCAGAGAAGCCAGGCCATGGCAATGAATTAGGCCACATCATCCCTTCAGGAAAGCAGGAGGACAGCCTGCAACTCTTTTCTACAGTGAAAGGCGAAAGAGTAGAAATATACTACCACTTCAGTCTGGATCCTCACCTGTATCAGTGATCAAGCTTTGTAGTGAAGCTTCTAAGCAGCAGAGGAAGGTCACTGAAATGAATTGTGTAGGGACTAGCATGCCCAAGCAAGGTAAGTGCACAGAAGACATCAGACTATGTATGAGCTTTCCAGCATCAAATGAACTAGTACCACTACTTCAAACTACACAAAGCAACAACATTAATTCACATTCCAAAGAGAAAATTTAAGTCTTTGAAAGGACAACTTGGGCAATACAGCCACAGACCAGGTCCTACAGGTGCCACATTAAAAGCACAGCACATGTACTTTGACAAAGTACAAAGTTCAGCACTTGGGGCAGAGTAACTCCCTGCATCAGTACAAAGAAGCAATTAACTGAGAAGCAGCCCTGCTGAAAAGATCCTGGGGGTTACCACAGAAACCATCCTGAATGTTCAACAGGGCATTCTCATCCTCAATAAGGCAAACAATGTGCCAGGCTACAAAAGGAGACACATGGCCCCAAGAAGCCTTCCCTCTGCTCTGCAGGAGGGTTCAGGTCAGCTGTTAGGAGGATGCTGGGAGATTCGGGTTGGGTGTTAGGAAAAGCTTCCTCAGCAGAGTGGTGCAGCCCTCGAACAGTCACCAGAGAAGTGGGAAGGGATCTCCATCCTTAGAGGTTCGCAAAACTTGGCAAGACAAAGTCAGTTACAAAAACCTGGCCTGGCACTACTGTTAGCCCTGCTTTGAGAGGTCTCTTTCAACTGCTTTCCTGCAACTCTACCAAGTACTTTGAAGTAATATGTGGCTATTTAATGAAACACAAATCTTTGTTAGACACCAAGAGATTCTACCTATTTTGCACTGCATAGCCTTTTCACAGCAGCAGAAGTCTGACAGTACCAAGAATACTAAAGAATAGAGCAAAATCTGAGCCTTGAAAGTATAATCTCCAAGTTGTAAGAGACAACTGTCAAACCCATTACAATTCTGGGCCTTTACACATCACTAATGGAAGTTTCATAGTTAATAAGGTTTAAATAGGTACTAGAGATGGTACTGTTAAGTGCTGTATTCAAGCCACAAGTCAGGACACAGAATCCTTAAGTAATTAACACTAAATGCTCTCCCCCACTTACATACGCTATTTTCAAGCACAGAACCAGTTTCAGTGAAAAATCCCAGAGAATTTTCCCAGCCTGAACCTCAGGAAAGCCTGAACCTCTCCAGCCTCTATTACCTCCGTCTCCTTTTGCTATATGATGCACTCCAGCTTAAGAGCACTGGCTTGTCTTCTGTAACTGCCCCTTCAGTAGTTGTAGACTGCTACTAGGTAGCCCCTTGCTAGACTCTTTGCCAGGCTGAAGAAGCCCAGCTCTCTCCAACTGTACTGGTGGATCATGCTCTAGGTCCCTTGTATTCTCCAGCACAGTATTTCAGGTACAGCTTCATTTGTGTGAAGTTGATGGAAAGCCAAGTTTCATGAGAACGGCTGCACCAGCTCAGACCAAGTTCAACAACATACCATGATGAGGAACATGGTTTCCCTAGGATGAAACTCAAGGGAAACTGCATCCTTTGCAGAGGTGAGGGACTGCTTTCACACTCTTGATTTGGCTTAATTTAAAAAAACATGACCATAAACAGCCCCCCATAAGATAAGGGTAAGAACAAGATAAGGACATCAACACATCCCTCCAATATTCTCCTAACTTCTAACCATTTTCAGTTCAACAAGTATTTCCTATACATTCACAACCCTACAGAAGCAGTCTGCTATTTTTTTTTAAATCCATGTAACCTTCTGACATCCACAATCTCTTTTAAAAAAAGAGATCTACAGGGCAAACGCCCATATGGAGAAGGGCCTCATGCTCATCCCAGAGACTCCAACTGACAGCTTCTACTTGTTGTGCTGCACAGCTCAACAGCTGAACTCTCTGTCCTCTTTATGATGTCCCAGCCCTTTATCATACCTTTCAGATATCCCTTCAAGGCTGACTCCTAACTTACAGGGTCATTCCACCTCAGCTTTATTACCCAGCCAGGCTCACAAAGTCCTTCAAGAAATCTCCCCATCAGCCCATTCCCTGACCTCTCCAAACCACCTCACACCACAGCTGGCAGCTGCCTCCGGCAGGGGCAAGGACCAGGAGAGAAGCAGCAAGCTGCACCTCCAGAAACACCCAGTGCGACGGCCTCCTCTACCACTCCAGGTCCCACACCCCCCAAGGAGGTTCCCCCCACATTTTTATATTCAACAGGTACCAGCAGCTCACCCCCCCTCACCGCGGTGTGCGGGCTGGACGCTCCGCCACGTCCCGCTCCGCAGGCCCCTGGGGCTGACTGCGCCCGGGGGCAGAGAGGCCGCCCCAGGTCGGGTCGCGGCTCCCCGCTACTGC